GAAAGGTGATTTGGCCTCAAGGAGCTGCCATGAGCTGCGGTCGCCCCATCCTCCTGGGACAGGGTCCGCATCCTCCAGTTGCGCTCATTTTCAATGGACCCCTCTCTCGCGAGCTTGCGAATCTCTCGTGCGTACTGAGATGCTAGAAGGAACCTGCCGTGGGGCCTGCACTCTGCCTTTCTGCAGGCAGACGGGCGCCAGCGCATGCAGACTCGGTGGAAAGCGGCCAGTTCGAGGAGCAACGATCTGGCCTCGAAAAATTGCCATCGGACCATCCTGGCGGGATTCACACGGCACTCATCTTCGTGCGAACGGAGGTACGATGTCGCCGAGAGCATGCAGCCGTGCACTTCCCGGCCCAGCCTGCTGCTTGTGTGTGCCGTCTTTGACAGGAACTGCTGGCCTCCCTGCGTGCCTGAGCCTGGGCGTTCAGACGCACGTCGGGCATGCCCGGCAAGTTTGCAAGTTCCAGGTGCCTGCTCACATGGAAGCCTGCCGTGGGCCCAGCATTCTGCCTCTTCGAAGCCAAAACACATCACGAGCAGGTCCGACAGCGGACTAGGATCCACAGCGGTAACGTCAAGGACACGCCTGCCGGCCAGGGATTTCCCAGCATGATGCGCCCTGCACCCATCGTCATGCAAGAACTTACGCAACGAAGCAGAAGTTTGGAAAGGCCATCAGATCTATGAAAGACGATTTGATCTCAAGGAGATGCCGTCGGCGCATCGTCCTGGGACAGGGTCCATGCGAGTTGACGAAGGACTTCGCGAGCAAGGAAAGACGACGTCACGGCGCCGGCTGGGCCGCATCTGCTCAAAGCAGACCTCGCCGGTCCGGTCTGCTGCGCTTGCACTGGTGCAGAGACGTGGAGAGAAACCCTGTCCTGCACTGCTTGGACAAGAGGTTCTGGGATGAAAGACATGTAGATTTTCGGGCTGGCCTTCCTGTCGGCGTGCCACGGGCATGTCCGACAGAACTTGGCTACCCTCCTTGCCTGCAGTGAAAGGTGTCTGGGCCTTTCAACAAACCTACACGCTTCCGGGTCCCGCAGACACTCTGACACCGTACGAAAAGCTTGTAGGGTTCCGGTGCAGGTTGAAACAAACAAGCTTGGAGTAGAATGGACGTTTTGTAATGGCGCGTGCCACCAGCACACCAGAGTGTGCTGCGTTGGCAAGCACGCGCAGACACGACTGGTCCGACTGAGCAAGCGCAGCGCTGGGCTGCGGGACCTGCAGGCCTTGCGGAAGCCAGGGATAGACAAATGGGCTCTGCTTCTTAAAGCAGGCCTGGTTCAAGGATCTATGCAAACACTCTACACCCCCAGTAGACTCCAGCATTCAGCCGTGCACTCGGTTCGACTGGCTTTTCGTGTCGCCACCGGTCGTGATTAGTGCCTTGGCTTTGTTGGCAGCACGGCGTGGCAGAAGTGCATCGCACGCACGTCCGACAGCGGACTAGGATCCACAGCGGCAACGGCAAGGACACGCCTGCGGGCCAGGAATCTCCCAGCATGATGCGCCCAGCACCCATCGTCATTCTAGAACTCAAGCAGCGGTGGCGGGAGCAAAAGTTGGGGAGTGCCGCCGGATCTAGGAAACGAGTTGGTCTCAAAGAGAGCCGTCGGCACATCCTCCCGGGACAGGGTACATGCGAGTTGACGAAGGACTCCGCGAGCAAGGAAACCCGACGTCACGACGCCGGCCGGGCCGCATCTGCTCGAGGCAGACCTCGTCGGTCCGGTCTGCTCCGCTTGCAATGGCGCCAAGACGCGGGGAGAAACCGCTTCCTGCGCTGCTTGGACAAGGAGTTTTTGAAGTTCTGGGGCTGGGCCGCACATGTTCGGCCCGTCCTGCTTGTCAGGCCTGTGCCACGGGCACGTCGGACAGACCTCACCTCAAATTCACCGGGGATGTGGGGGATAGGACTTGAAACCAAGCGGAAAACGTCTGGCAGCTGCGAGCTTCTAACATTCTCGGGACAACAGACCGTGCAACGTGAGGCAGTGCCTAGTGACGGTGGCTGCCAGGCCCTGCCCTCACAAAACCTGAGAACGCCCGGGTGTCTGTCAGTCATGCCTCTTCACATGCAACAAAAGGCTTCCGTGGGGAAGTTCATCACCAGCACGTCCGACAGCGGACTAGGATCCACGAAGGTAACGGCAAGGACACAGCCAACGGCCAAGGATTTCCCAGCATGATGCGCCCTGCACACATCGTCATGCCAGAACTCAAACAGGGGAAGCAGAAGGAGGGGAAGGCCACCAGATCTACGAAAGACGATTCGATCTCAAGGAGATGCCGTCGGCGCATCCTCCTGGGACAGGGTCCATGTGAGTTGGCGAAGGACTTCGCGAGCAACGAAACACGACGTCACGACGTTGGCCGGGGCGCATCCGCTCAAAGCAGACCTCGTCGATCCGGTCTGCTCCGCTTGCAATGGCGCAGAACAACCCGGATCGCACGCTGCTTGGACAAGACATTCTGGGCTGGCAGACGTGCAAAGGTTGAGGCCGTCTTGGCTGCCAAGACTGTGCCACGGGCGTGTCGGACAGAACTCATATCAAATTAAGGAAAGCTTCTGGCAACCGCGCGCCCGTGCCTGTGCCGTTCTGGGGACCACACACCTTGCAGAATGGGGCTGCCCCTGCGGTGAAAGTATTGGGCCTCCAGTCCCTCCAGAAACCCCGAGGTTCGGAGGCCTCCAGGTCTGTTCAGTCTCAGTTGCATGTCCGCCGCCTCGCAGATGCCCGGCAAGCTTGCGAACTCCTTGCGTGTCTTGATATACCACAAGTTGGAGGGCTTGGTGGTGCGCTTGTCTATGAATGCTCACAAGGGTTTTGGCACTGTCAAGCAACTGTCGGAAACCATGAGAGCAGTGGCGGGAACCATTTTCAGAAATAGCCTCAAACAGTTGGGAACCGTTCCGAACTGTTGGATCCGTTTTGAATCGCTCCGCCACGTGTTCAAAGCTTGGAGGACCAGATGGGTCCTGAGATTAGTGCGACGGTTCCTGAGACCACTGCAGCGAGAACAGAGACACGATGCCATACAAAGCACTGGCTACTCTAAGCTACAAGCGGAACAAACCTGCCGTGGAGCTTGCACTCTGCCTTTCCGCGGCAGCATGCAGAGGCCTCGGAGAGCGGCCGATTCGAGGAGCAGCTACCTGGCCTCAAAAAAACACCATCGGATCATCCTCACGAGATTTACACAGCACTCATCAGGATCTTCGCGGGAACGGAAGTGCGATGTCGCCGAAGGCAGGCAGCCGCGAACTTCCCGGCCCAGCCTGCTGCGCTTGTGCAGAGCAACGCTCTCTGCTGTTTTTGACAAGAACTGCTGCTCCGGGGTGCCTACTTTCATGGAAGCCTGCCGTGGGCCAGCATTCTGCCCCTCTCTTGAAAGCCAACATGCATCACCAGCACGTCCGACAGCGGACTAAGATCCACAGCGATATGGGCAGGGACACGCTTGCCGGCCAGGGATTTGCCGGCACGATGCGCCCTGTGCCGATCGACATGCCAGAACTCAAGCCGCGGAAGCAGAAGAAGGAGAACGTCACCGGCTCTAGGAAAGGCGACGGGGTCTCAAGGAGATGCCATCGGCGCATCCTCCGGAGACAGGGTCCATGTGCATTGGCGAAGAAGTTCCCGAGCACGGAAACACGACATCACGACTTTGGCCGCGCCGCATCCACTCAAAGCAGACCTTGCCGGTCCGGCTTGCTGCGTCTGCGCTGGTGCAGAGCAACCCGGATCGCACGCTGCTTGGACGAGAAAATTTTGGCCGGCAGAGCAAGGGCCTTCTTCAGATAGGCCAGCAGCACAAGCCCACACGAAGTCCCGTATGCAGTCGCGTCCAAGTTGTGGGCCAAGCCGCCCAGGGTGGTCTGGACGAGGCCTGTGTCAGCCGTTGCTAGGGTGCCCTGGTTCCTTTGGCCTCGGGGCCATCCTGCTGCTCCAAGTCTCTCGACAAAGCGTGCGTTGGTCGTCTCCGGCTGCTCTTGCACCTAAATGTGCAAAGGGGGCCTCAACCTCAAGGCTAGCTGCATGCTGGTACGGCTGACACGGAAAATGCCTTGCAGCCTGACACGAGTGCGGCGGTTGCAGCCCGCTGTGCTGAGGACGAGCTGCCTCTGCGGCGAAATACCGTCATACCGCCCACTGGCTCGGAGCTTCTTCCCCACGCACTGGGAACCTCTGTCGGAATCTTTCTCCTGCACGCCACCGTGGACTCTGTGTATCGCATCCGTTCTTAGGGGGCCCCATGCCACGGCTGTGCCTTTGTTACATCTTGCATCAATCGTCCCTGCTAGGTGCAAAACCTCGAACGGCCCTGAACCCACAGCCAAGCGTAGGGCCGAAAGGCCAAAGGAAGCATCCAAGCGCACCTCCACAGGCCTCGCTTGAACCTGTGCTCCACCTGACACACCTTTGTGCTTGGCGAAAAGCTTGAAAAGCTCCGTCGCCGAACAAGAACTTTTTTGCTGATGGGGAAATTGCTGAAGCAGCCCATCATGCCAAAACAGAAGCGGCATGACTTTCATGCACCTCTTGCCGTCACCTGTGCTTCCTCGGCTGTTGATCACGGAACAGAAAGCAACTGCGAAGCAGCGATGCCCGAAACCCCAAGAGACATGTGCCGAGTCCGACGTCGGAGGAGTATCTCTGCTTGGACTCGTTCAACGTCCTGCGGCAACCTGCTTGGGATCCCAACCCCGATAGCCAGCGTTGCCTGGTCTGAGCTGCCACTCAGCCTTCGAGCTCCAAGAATGCCATGGACGCGCTGCGGCAGTCGAAGCTGTGCCGTACACCACAGCATCCAGAGTCACGCTGTGCGGCAGGTCTCCGGGAGTTGCAGGAGGAGCAGCAGCGAGCTCGAAGACTCAGGCTCGAGGCCGTGCAGTCAGCCCACGGCCACGGGCCGGCATAGAAGCACATCGAAGCCCCTCGCATCGAAGAGCAGTGGATGTCAGCTGTGTGGCCGGAAGCCGAGGTGCAGATGGCTCCCGGCGGCCTGCTCGCCAACGGTATCAGAAGCGGCATGTTACGGCGGCGGCGGACACTGGGAGCCTCTGCTCAGGGGAACATCCAAGGCTCGAAGCGACAGGGGCGAAGGCAGGAAGAGGACACTTCTCCCGGACCCTATGGGCCTACGGCACAGAAGACCAATAAGGTGCTTAAACCAGCCGGGCTCCTCGATGGTACCTGGCAGCTGAACCAGCTCAGCCTTCTCAACTCGATGCCGCACTCCAATTACTCCAAGAGGCGGAGGCGAAGCCGAACGGCAGCGCGGTGGAGGGAAGTGACGTTGCGAAAGTTAAGAAGGAAAGAGAAACATCGTGACTAAACACCTGGGCAGCAGGCCACGCAGATCTTGGCCAGGCCTTCAAGCTGCCACGGTGGAGGCTACGTGAGACCCCTTGGCTGCTCGCTTCTTGCAAGACCGCACCTTTCCGAATGTAGCCGCAAGGGACGCCGAGCGTAACAGAAGCCTCTCCGACCGCACAAGATCAACCGTTCGGCCGGACCACATCTAGCCCACTACGAGAATCACGCCCGCCCCGGCCCGACCCGAGTGCCACAGAGTCGCACCGAAGCTGCATGGTTCTGAAGCCCTGAGAAAGAGAAGGAAGAAGCCCTCTCTTGCAACACACCAGGGCTCCCGCAAACTGCTATGCCTTTCAGGCAGAAGCTGTGACAACCTAACTTGCGCATCCAATTGGTCCGGCCTGACTAGTGGCTTCAGTGTCAAGTGTTCGGGATTCCTTCAGTTGAGACACACGTCCAGCCTCAGAGAGGGCACGGTGCGCGAGGGTAGTGCTTCACGAGGACCCTGCAGACCTTGATGAGGCCGCAAGGCAAGCGCTTCTCTTTCGAGGATTCATATAGCCACGCAATCTTCGGTTCTGCGACGCTCTGCTGAAAGACACGACTGGTTCACCCAGCAGCTTCGACTATCTGCATGAACTCCACATCCAGGCAGTGAGAGCCTGCAGCAGGCAACGATGCACTGCGAGTCCTGGGCCTGCAGGTGCCAAGAATCCTCGGCTGGCTCCGCGGCTCCAACTGTGCCGGCAGGTCGCCTTGGAAGCTGCAGGAGGTGCTGTGGTCTCACTCTGAGCTGGCCTCCAAGGGCGTTGGACAGCTGGCGCGGACTCTCAAGCCATCTGCAAATGGACAGAGCAGCCAGAAAGACGCGAATGTGACTGCATGCAACGGCCCCATGCAGCTGGGCACTGCCGCTGCATACCACGGGCTCAGCAGCGTCCAGTCCTGTGCAGTGGGACCTCCGGATTCACTCTCCAGCCAAGTAGAGATGGCGTCGCTTCGAAGGCTTGCAACCCTGGATCCAGGGTTGCACGACTCGCAGGGCACGATCTTGCGTCTGCTCAGCGTATGCGTGTTCTGCCGCTGCACACCTAACCTGGAAAACAGTGCTCCTGTGGCCCTTTGTCTCGCCAACTGTCGAACGCAGATGCCATGGCAGGCGTCAGCAGATCCTACAGCTGCAGTGCCCCATTTTTGATGCTGCCACGGGCTTTCTCCTTCGTTGCGTGACCTTGAAAGCCTGCCTCGGGCAGAGGCAGTAACACTGTCTTGAAGGTCAAAAACCAGCTTTTCTGCGATTCAACGGAAGCCACAGACAGGAGAGGGAGATCCTCGCCATCGACAAGACACCTCTAGGTGAAGGCAGAGAGCACATTGTTCTGCAACGCCACGGAGCTCTGCATACAGCACCCCGACATACTGCACAAGTTGCGCTGGCCGCACGCAACCCAAAAGAGCAGCAGGATCCACAGAGCCCTGGTCAGAGGCTTCCCGCGCTTCATGCGCCGGAGTTGCTCAGCGAAAGGCACCTCGGCGATGTTCATGCACACAGAGAGCAACAAGTTCCTTGAATCGCGCATTTGTCTGGAGAGTCTGCACAGAACTTGCAATCTGCACGTTGGGAGTGCAGCCAGTAAACACCTGAATGTGACTGCAAAGGCCGCATGCAGCCGGGCACTGGCCGGAGTGGAGCAGTGTCCAGTCCTGTGCAGTGGGACCTCCGGATTCACTCTCCAGCCAAGTAGAGATGGCGTCGCTTCGAAGGCTTGCAACCCTGGATCCAGGGTTGCACGACTTGGAGGGCACGACCTTGCATCTGCTCAGCGCATGTGAGATCAGACAACGAGTGCTGTGCGGGTGCACACCTGGCCTGGCAAACAGTGCTCCTGTGGCCGCGCCCTTTGTCTCGCCAACTCTCGAATGCAGATGCCATGGCAGGCGTCAGCAGATCCTACAGCTGCAGTGCCCCATTTTTGATACTGCCACGGGCTTTCTCCTTCGTTGCGTGACCTCGAAAGCCTGCCTCGGGCAGAGGCAGTAACACTGTCTTGAAGGTCAACAACCAGCTTTTCTGCGATTCAACGGAAGCCACAGACAGGAGAGGGAGATCCTCGCCATCGACAAGACACCTCTAGGTGAAGGCAGAGAGCACATTGCTCTGCAACGCCACGGAGCCCTGCATACAGCACCCCGACATACTGCACAAGTTGCGCTGGCCGCACGCAACCCAAAAGAGCAGCAGGATCCACAGAGCCCTGGGTCAGAGGCTTCCCGCGCTTCATGCACCGGAGTTGCTCAGCGAAGGCTGCCTCGCCATGCTTCATCCCTGCGCGAGTGTGGCGCCTGTAATCCTCACCAAGCTGATTTCCAAGCAACTGGCACATTCACATGCTAGCGCGTGAGGGCATGTCACGCTCTATTGGCAATCTGCGCCGTCAAATCCGTGTCAAACTTCAGCTGCACCTGACAGGACCGAAGCTGCGAGGACCCTTCGTCCCTCCGTGACTCGCCCTTGCACCCGACAGCTCCGTATCAGGCTGATATAGGCTGACGGCAATGTCCCTACGCCCTCCCCAATCGTACCTTTGCTCTGATCAGTTGAAAACCTGTGCCTACAGTCGGCACCTGTGTAAAAGCAGGCGTTCCGTCAGGTCGGCGCCAGCAGCAGGGAGTACCTGAGGCAGGACTGAGCGGAATCCCGCTCTGGGCTTGGGGCAGAGCCCTTGACGGAAACTTCTTCTGAAAAGTGATCCGAGCTCTCGTTGCCTCCGACACCACCTCGCTCACACTTCTCTACTACTGCACTCCTCTCATGATGCACCCAGCCTCGCCAGCCTCATCCTGCATCTAGCTGGGAACCGCCATCCAGACAATCGGAAAGAAGCAGCTGACTACGTTTCTGCATGGGCTCCCCAAAAGCCCAATCGGGCTTGGGACTAGCTTCGACCGGCACTTCTGAGTTTCGACTCTACTCTCAGGCGGGAAATTGGACTGCAGCGTGACCTTGCTACATCATGCAAGCTGTGAGAGTGCGCGCAAGCCGCAAAAAAGATTTGCTTTTGCTCTGCCGACCTGCTGCAGCATCTTCATCCCCATCTTCCCCATTCAAACGACGGTGACGGCACCATAAAGTCAGACTTAAGGCCTTGTCTCTGCAGCTTGAAGTGCGGAAATGGTGGGAACCTGTTCAGTGTCATTCTGTCTCGTGTCCTAGTCCTAGACGGCAAGAGTGTTCAGAAATTGATTGTTTGATGTTGGAATCGGCAACGATACGTGGATCATGCATCAAACAGTCGGCGTAAACCGAAAAGCAATGTATCTTAGCACAGCCCTGTTCTTGCTTCGCTATGCTTCGCTGTCTGCACTTTGATATCCTGTCACCCTTCCAGGGCTGCTTCCTCCCTTCCCTGCCTAGGCCCTTCCCTCCCCACACGAGACCCGGCTCCCATCATCCCATGGAAAGTTCCCCAATTTTCACACATTGACATATATTTATTCGTTTGTCAGCCCGGAAATCTTACGCACCTTTTTCTCACCTCTGCACAGGCGAACCCGATCTTCAGATCTAACGGCCGTATACAACAAGGCCTGGGGATCTTCAGATCTGTCAATCCTAGGCACGAGCGCGAACAGAAATGGGAGCAGGGGTGTACGCCCTGACGACCGTCAGGCGTGAACGCTGAGCCGTACAGCGCATTTCCAAGGGAGTTTCATGCAGGATCATTACGGCACGTCCAGTCTGTACGAAGTGCTGACGACGAGCTTTTGACACTGGGCTCGGTCGCAAGCTTTTGACACTGGGCTCGGTCGCAAGCACATTGCAGGCTAATTCATGCTATCAACACCATTGAGCACCCTCTGCAAGAACCGAGGCGTGCTAGGCCTCCAGAAGCGCTTGCTGAATCCTCCGACGAGGTCGGTGTCGGAGGCCTCCCACCAAGGCGCAAAGCGACGATGGCAACCAGGGGCAAGTACGGCAGCAGCAACGGAACTGCGTGTAGCGGCGCGCAAAGGGCTAGGACCGTTGAAAGAGTGACCATGGGAGAGTGGCAACGTACGGCGGTGTACCTTGCCCGCTTCAAACCTGACAAGGCCTACTGGCCACGCAAGTGTGAGGAGGTTGGACGAGATGCCAAGTTGTCAAGGGTGCGCTCACCGACAAGCACCGAGACGTCCAAGTCGGGCGGCCGCAGATGCCTGCAGCGCATCGCTCGATCGGCGACTCTGACAAGCTGGGGCTTGTGTCTCCAGGCAACCTGTGCTGACGCCACGGTGCTGAATGCCAGGCTTGTGAAGCCTAAAGGCCCAAACAACAATGATCTTGGAGAAACACGCGTCGCACAAAGAGACGGACAGTGCAGGTACCCACTTCGAAAGAGTGTGGCTGACATCAGCTGCAAATCACTGCTTGCCAAAAGTAGCTTCGAGTTGCGACTCATGTCAGCCAAGGACAGGGGGTGGCGCATGCCACACTCGTCTGCAACACGAAGTGGCCTGGATACGCCAGCAAGATGCAGTCCTTGCCTGCTTCCATGCTTCACCTGCAATGAAACGACCCTTGAGTCTTTCCTAGACTTTCAGTGGTTTCTTAACGGTACAAGTAGTAACTTCTCTGTGAAGCAGAGTGGTCTGAGTAGTTCAGCGAGACACGGGTGGCCCTGGAACCACACGTGGCAGCTGTTTGTGGTCTCCCTACTCGAACTTGGCCAAGGCTTCCCCTACCTGGCTGCTTTCATGCCTCAGCAACAAGGAAAAGGCCCTTGAGCTTTTCCTCACCTTTCGGAATGCCAGTGAAGAGGCTTCACAGCTGGCCGCAAGGTTGCTGTCGACTGCATTCTCTGACAACGACCACAAGTGGCAGCTGTTTTGTGGGTCTTCCGGCGGCGAGCTTGGCCTAGTCGAAATTGGCCAAGGCCTTTCCTCGAATGCAGAACCTCGACAGATTCAAAGGGCATGGAACTGTGAGGAGGGCGTACTGTCGGACTGAAGGGCATGACCAGAACGGCCTCGGGAAGAGGG